GGTTGAGGAATGGTGGAGAGAAGACCTAAGGGGGGTGAAGTGGAAAGGGGTAAGATTCCACAAAAAAACTTAAAAGATTGGGAGTACATGTGAAGGAGTGGAATATGGAGCATTTTGGGAGAATAGAAGATAGGAAATCTTTTCTGTTGACCCAAATAGAGGAATTGGATGCGAAGGAATCTCAAAGAACCATAAGCCCTCAGGAGAGAGATCGGAGATGGGAACTAAAAAGAGAGTTAGATGAAGTTGTTTTGAGAGAAGAAATTTCTTGGAGGCAGAAGTCTAGATGTAAATGGATTAAAGAAGGAAATGAGAACACTAAATTCTTTCATAACCTAGCCAATGGAAGGAGAAGGAAAAATCTAGTGTCCAAACCGGAAGTGGATGGAATAGTCTTTGATACCCAAGAGAGGATAGCCAACTGTTTTGTTGAGCACTTCAAATCCATTTTGAGGAGACCCCTAAGACCTAGTGTGGAGTTGGAAGGCGTTACCTGGTAGAGGCTTCCAGAAGAGAGTAGAAGCTGGCTGGAAAGGAATTTTGAGGAGGAAGAAATCAGAAAAGCCATTTTTTCAATGGACAGGTCAAAAGCAACAGGGCCAGATGGGTTTACAATGGCTTTTTTCCAAGACTGTTGGGACGTAGTCAAAGAAGGTTTAATCGAGGTCTTTAAGGAATTTGAGGATAACCCAGTGATGAGTCGTGGAATTAATGCTACTTTTTTAGCTTTAATTCCCAAGAAGAAAGAGGCCAAGCATCCGAAGGATTTTAGACCTATTAGTTTGGTGACTAGTGTTTACAAGATTGTGGCTAAGGTCTTATCTTTGAGGATAAAAAAGGTGCTTCCTTGTCTTATTAGCCAAGCGCAAGGAGCTTTTGTTCAGGGGAGACAAATTGTAGATCAGATTTTAATAGCAAATGAATGTGTGGAGGAGATGAGGAGATCATTGTGTCAAGGTTTTGTTTGCAAACATGATCTTGAAAAGGCCTATGACTTGGTGGATTGGGGATTCTTACTACTTGTGCTAAGAAAGTGTGGGTTTGGGGATAAATGGTGCAAATGGGTAAATGGTTGCTTGTCCAATTGCCATTATTCCATCCTAGTAAATGGGGTAGTTAATGATTTTTTCCCAGCTAGTAGGGATCTGAGACAAGGTGATCCTATGTCACCATTCCTTTTCACTTTAGTTGCTGATGCTTTTAGTAGACTCCTCTCAGAAGCAGATAGAGCCGGATCTCTAAGAGGGTGGAGAATAGGTAGAGGCAGAGTTTCAGTAACCCATCTCCAATTTGCAGACGACATAATAATCTTTTGTGAAGGTTGTGATTTGACAGAGGTAAGGAATCTGAAGGATGTAATAACTCACTTTGAGAGGGCCTCAAATTTAAAAGTAAATTTTGAGAAGAGTTGTGTTGTGGGAGTTCACTTGAATAGAGAGGAGTTGGAGTCTATAGGAGCCTCGCTAGAATGCACCTGCTCTTAGTGGCCCCTATCCTACCTAGGACTTCCTTTAGGTGCAAATCCAAAGGAAAGTAGGTTCTAGAACCCGGTGGTGGAAAGATTCGAAAAAAGATTGGCAGCTTGGAAGAGAAACTATATTTCCAAGGGGGGTAGAGTTACTTTGATTAAAGCAACTTTAGCCAACTTGCCTTTATACTTCCTGTCAGTCTTTAGAATTCCTAAAAGGGAGGCAAAGAGGTTGAAAAACTAATGAGGGATTTCTTATGGGAACCTGGTGAAGAGAAAAAAGATCACTTGATTAGGTGGGAGGTGGTGTGTCGGAGTAAGGAAGAAGGAGGTCTAGGATTAGGGAACGCGGTGAGCAAGAACGAGGCTCTTTTAGGTAAGTGGCTTTGGAGGTGGCCCCTGGAGAGGGAGAGGTTGTGGCGTGAAGTAGTGAAAAGTATCCATGGTTGTTTCGAATCAGGTTGGGATGTGGGAGTATCCCGAAAGGGCTTTGCTCACTACACCTTAGAAGGCTATCTCTGGCATTCTCTCTAAGTTCCTCAGTTTTGTAAGGTACGATGCTTGCTTTGGAAACTCCATTCTTTTTTGGGAAGATACTTGGGTGAGCTCTCAACTCCTAAAAGACCATTTCCCTTCTTTCTATTCCATCTCCATTTTTAAAAAGAAACCCATTTCTTGGTTCCTTTCCCCCTCGGTTTGCCCTTTGGCCTTAAATTGGGATTTTGGGTTTCGAAGAGGGTTAAGGGATGAATAATCTCTTTGCGTTTCAGAGCTGTTGTTGCTTCTAGATTCGATGTGTTTGGACCCCCACAACCCGGATAGAAGAGTCTGGTCCCTAACCACGGTTGGCTCATTCACTTGTGCTTCTTTCTTTAAAGCCCTTTGCTCCAACCCCTCCTCTCAGGTCTTTCCTATTAAAGAGGTATGGTCAAGACTGATTCCCCCCAAAATAGCTGTGTTCTGTTGGGAAGCCTATTATGGTAAGATCAATACTGTGGAAAACTTGCAAAAGAAGAAACCTTTTATGTGCTTGTCCCCTAATCGGTGCTCTCTGTGTAAAGTGAGGGGTGAGGACTGTAACCATTTGCTGATATCATGCTCTTTTGCTACCAATATTTGGAACTGGGTTGTTTTTTTATTTGGGTGCAGGTGGAATTTGCCCTCTGAAGTAAAGCTGTTGTTCACTTCGGCTGCCTTTTGGAGATTGACAAAAAGAGGGAAGCTAATGTGGAAATGTATTAGAGACGCTACGTTGTGGACTGTACGGGAGGAGAGAAATGCAAGAATATTTCAAGAACAGGAAAGAAGTCTTGCTGAAATCAAGGAATGCATATTTACATGGACTATCTCATGGTTAAAATCTTCACACTTGTTGGCAGATTACTCCTTCGATGACTTGAGGAGAAATTGGGCTGCAGTGTCTGCTACAGTCTCCACCAAGATCAAATCACAAGCTGAATGGATTCCCCCCCGGATGGTGTGGTAAAATTGAATTTTGATGGTAGCTGCCAAGGTAACCCAGGGCCTTCAGGAATAGGTGGGATTCTGAGAGACAAAGACAGCAATATGTTGTCTCTATTTTCAGGACCAGTGGGTGAAGGTGATTCAGTAAGGGCAGAGCTACTAGCAGCGGTACAAAGTATACAGATGGCTAGTCAAATTGGAGTGACCAATCTGCTAGTAGAAGGGGATTCCAAGGTAGTAGTAGTAGGCTGGCTAATCAGCCCAGAAACAGCTTGTTGGGGCTACAGGGATCTGCTAAAGAAAGTTAAATGGATGACAAGGGATATGACTGTTAGGTTTCAGTGGGTCAGAAGATCAGCAAATGCAATGGCTGATTCTTTGGCCAAGCTAGGGGTGTCAAGGGGAGATCTTTTTTGGGCTACTTTGTAATTGTGTCTCAGGCCTGGGCAGTTTTGGTGTATATGGTTCAGTCCTAGGGGGGGTAACATCTCGTGCCTCCTCCTAGGCTGATTGTATTTTTGATATCTGATTTAATAAAACTAATTTCATTCATCAAAAAAAAAAAGGTTGAACAGAAAATGAGCAGCCTTACAATGAATAAATAAGTGATCCACAGATTCATCTTCCTCACTGCACATCACACATCTTATGGAGGGCAGCACCAGACCCCTCCTGTTCAACTGCTCCTTAGAAAGATATTTACCATGAACTGCTGTCCAGATCAAGAAGGAGACTTTAGTAGGAATGTGAGGGAACCAAGTATCTTTCCATGGAAAAGCCTGAGACGAACCAGTACTCAGCTTCAAATAAAAGGACTTCACTGAGAAAATCCCATCCCTAGCCCACTTCCAAATTCTGGAATCTTGCTGATTTGGATTCAGTTGATAATCCTGAATTAGTTGGAGCAGCTCTAGCTGATCTGAGACTTCCCAGTCATTGAGATGCCTCCTAATATTTGGACACCAGTGTCCTGAATTTCCATGCCACTCAAACTGATTTGCCACCATCACATCTCTATCTTCTGCTATAAGGAAAAGTGAAGGGAAAGTCTCCATTAGAACAGAACTATTGCACCAAAATGTAATCCTGTTGCCATCCCCTAATTCTAGCCTTAGACCTTGGATGAAATTAGGATAAACCTTCTCAATTCCTTTCCAAATTGAGCAGCCAGCAGAAGTGGGTCCAGGCCCAGGATCCCATCCACAGTTTCTAGTTCCATACTTTTCCACAATTAGCCACCTCCAGAGAGCTCGGGGGTTAGAATTGAAGAGCCAAAGTCATCTACCTAGGAGAGCAGTATTTACCTGCCTGAAGCTTCTCACACCTAAACCCCCTTCCGAAACAGGTTTGCAAATAGTTTCCCACTTAACCTGGTGAATCTTCTGCTCACCATTCTTCCCACACCAGAGGAAATTCCTTTATAATTTTTCTAGCCTTTCAGCCACCTGTGCTGGGATTGGAAACAATGATAAAAAGTGAATAGGTGGATTAGCTAGAATACTTTTCAACAAAGTAATCTTAGCTCCCTTCGACAAATACCTGGACTTCCAATCCCCCAGCTTCTTCTCTAGTCTTTCAACCACCGGGTCCCAAATGGACTCGGAGTGGCATTTTGCTCCAACTGGGAGGCCCAGGAACCTGAAAGGGAGCTTCCCCACTTTACAACCGAGCTCCACAGAAAGTTCCTGGATGTTGTTGGCCTCCCCAACTGAGAAAATTTCACTTTTCTGGAAATTCACTCGTAGTCCTGAAATCACCTCGAACCACAACAGAATCACCTGAAGATTAATTAACTGCTCCTTTTCTTCCTGAACAAAGAATAGGGTATCATCTGCATATTGCAATAAATCTGTCTTTCTAAACATGTTCCAGTATTCAGGTAGCAGGTGATGGACCACATGCTTGTTTTTTGCTTGCTATTTTTACTGCCAGCAATCGTTGCTTTATACTGTTTGATTTGAAATTAATTATTGGAGAGTAATGCTTTTTTCAATGGTCTTATCTCTTGTTCACATGGAATTCATCTCATGTTATTCTGAGTCTTAATTCTCATAGTATCTTTTTGCAGACTTTGAGATCTGTATCACACAACTACCCAAACATAGTGGCTGCATGTTGGGAACATGTTTCTGCTGTTATCTTTGGATTGTTGGGAGTAGGTGCTCTTGATATTCTTACATCTGATACTCAAATTAGGCCATCCAAACCAGATTTTGGAAGTGGTGTAGGATCACTTGGAGAAAAATTCATTACATGTGCAGTTAAGGTAAACGTTTCAAGGAACAATCTCTTACTTTGTGTGTATACATACATACATACATACATACATGCAGTTATCAGAAGAGGCATTTTATCTAAACATAAGAATCCTTATGTTACATTCTGATTAGGATTAGGAGTAGACATAACCAGACCTGGGTTTTATATATCTCTCATTATTTAGGTACCCAGTTAGTCTGTTTACTCCAGGAATGAACCCACTCTGTATTATGCACCATGAAAAGAATATTTGTTACACAGTACCTATCAGACAGAGGAATACTTTTAGTAGTATCATCCATTTACCCCACCTCCGTGAACATTTTCTTGAGTGGTCATGCGAGGGATATAAATAGTCATTAGATATTTAGATAACTATGACTCTATGAGTTAGGATGATATCCTTAAGGATGAGATAACTGAATTTCTACTTTTCCCTCCTGTTCCATGAACTAATCTTCTTCTGGGATCTTGCTAGTGATATTGACAAAAGGTTAGATTTTTTATTAATTGGTTAGTAGAAATTTTATCTTGAAATGAGAAAAAAGAAGAGATTGTACAAGATTTTTAGTATGCCTTAGAATTGTTAAGCCATCACTGGATGTTTAGTATGCCTTATAGAATTGTTAAGTCATCACTAGATCTTTAGTCCCACTACAAAGTACAAACTAGTGCCTTACGGTGATGAGACCCCCCCCCCCCCCAACATTGTTTGCCATTGTTTTTTGATCAGCAATTGTTTGCCAAACTATTTTCTGATCCTGGGACCCAATTACAAATAACATCCAGTTCTGCAATCGTATGATTGGTTCCCCTTACAGTGTGTCAATGATACCATGGCCCTTGACTCCTACTTTTGGTTCATTCCACTACTAGCTGTGAATCCCCTTTTATTACCATATTTCTAGCTGAACCAACTCCTGCAGGTCATGAGAAGATTGCTGTAATGGCTCCTTTTTTTTGTGTGTGGGTGGGTGGGGGAGCAATTGAGTTGATCTTTGTGAGGGATCATGATGAAGAAGAATTTGCCACAATTAACTATTCTCTTTAAGATGTCATTAGTATTAAAAGAGGCAGACAACTTTAAAGTTTTAAGCTAGTGAACAACTTATCAAGAGTTTTCTATAATGGCCTCCTTGATGGCAAACAACTTGGAGGACATACCTGCATCTAAAATCTGGAATCCATCTTCCTCCTCAAAAGTTAATGCCCTGGTGTGGGCTGCAACTTTAGACAGATGTTTGACCAAAGCTCACATTCTCAGAAGAGGCACTCAACTTCAGGATCAGAGGTGTGTACTGTATTGACATGGTATTGAGGATTGCTGCCACCTGTTTATTCACTGCCCTGTTTCAGTTAAAGTTTGGAACCACTATTTCTCTGCACTAGGCCTTGCTTGGGTGATGCCTGGCTCTGTTAAGGAGCTGCTTCTGAGCTGGGGCTTAAAGGGGATGCCAAAACTTGCTGCTGCTATTTGGAAAACCATTCCAGCTGCTGTAATCAGTACCATTTGGACTGAAAGGAAAAAATGGTATTACATAATATTGCTAGAACTCAGGAAGATCTAATTTCGTATTCAGTTGGAAAATTAATCTCTTGGGTGTCGGTAACTAAAGGGATTAAGACCTCACATTTGAGGGCTAGACTGAATTCTAGTAACTTCTGAGAGTTGTAATCCGGGGGTTGTAATGTTGGGACCCTGTCAAGGTTTTTTCCTTGGGGGATCCCTTTATATCTTATTTCAATATCAATAAAATTTTACCTTCACTTTTCTCAAAAAAAAAAAAAAATAAATAAATAATGGCCTCCTTGATTTGTAATTTATCCAAGAATGCTCTAGCATCCTTTTATTCCATAGTTGACCATAAAATGGCTGTTCCATTGCATCTCCCAATCACCTTTATTCTCTTCTGAGGACTGATAAAAGAACTTTTAAATAAGGTTTCCATGTTACTTGGAGGAGTAGAAAGGAAACAATCCCTAATATTAGATACAAGATGTTATGGGCCCAGGCGTAGGATCTCGTCACTGGTCGGTCCACGGGGAGAACCTCTTGCTTCCCCTTGCGCCTTCCCTTGCGTGCAGACCCTATTGTGGAAAACCGAATGGGTGATTTGTCCAAGAGACCACCTGAACTCTCCTCACTCTTCTCTTGACTGGAAACTCAATGCCTTTATTTCAACTCATAGCTCCTTAAATAGGAGATTACAAAAGGGTGTTCCTTGTTGGATTCGGCTAGGCTAGGGTAATCCCTATCAAACTCAAACTTCTACTTCTAAATAAATTACCTACTTCTAATGGTAACACAACTCCTACTTCTAGTGGCAAATAGAACTCTTACTAAGAAGATAAGATAAGGATAAGGGATAAGGGAAAGTGTAGCTGGCGGTTGGCGAGCAGAGCTGCCGTGGCAGGATAAGTGTGGGCCTACCCTGATGAGCTGTCGTGTGGGCCCCGCTCTACTGCTGCTGCCGGGCGGTGCGCGCGTCTCACAGTGCTGCTGCCGTGCGGTGCGTGCTGCTGTGCAGCTGTTGTGCGTGCTGCTGCCTATGACTGCGCCGCAGCGTGCTGCCGGGCGGTGTGTCCATAACACAAGAGTGTAGGAGATTTGTAAGTGATATGTAATTTCACAACTTGCATTATGGAGGAAGCACTTGTGTTGAGAGAGACAACAGTTGGGTCTTCTCCTTTGCAGAGTCTTTTATGTGTTAATTTTTTGGTAGTAAACCCCCCAACAAAATACTCTTGTTTTCTTTTGGGTTGGCCCATTCCAAATTGCCTTAACCCGAATAGCCTATGTGGAGGTGTATGGTATAGTGAGAATCTGAAGTGAATGAAGCACAAGAAAAACTTTGAGAAGAGTTGTCTCTCCAAATACGATGATCCTCTTTGGAGGAGTCAAGAAAAGCATCCTTTAGAGAAGGAAGGATATTTGAAGCTTTCAAAACCTCAAAGTCCCTTAGCCCTTTCCTGAGATCCAAGTTCCAAGATATTCCTGATCCAATGTTGGAAGCACAACAAGAGATGGGTCCATTTTTGAAGGATGAAATGGAGTGCAACAAAGAAATTCATTGTTTCAAGGGCCTATCTCCCCACTATAGATCTTCCCAAAACCTTTTGTTCTCTAAGAATACATCATACTGGACATGCTGGAAGAAGGTAGGAAGTAATTTAGAAAAGGCTTTCCAAGGAGAGGCTAAAGAAAGGAGTTTTTTATAATGTTTGGCCAATTGGCAACTCTTACCATGTAAACTTGACATCTTGATAGAAGTAAATAAAGGAGGAATCAACTAACTCAGAATGAAAAGATAAATGACCAAGTTGAGCACATTGAAGCTTTTTATCAACAGACTCAGGTGAGACAGAACTGCATGCAAGTTGACTCTGGTGAAAACTCCTTTGAGGTAGCACATCTAGAAGGTCCATCATATTTGCCTCATGACCACTCTCAAATCATTTTCTTGGAGACTAGATTTTGGAAAACACAACAATCAAGAAATAAAGTTATCTAGTAGTTAAGATCTTTGGTAGGATTACTAACAGACAATAGGGTTGTATTTAAGTTAGGAATATGAAGAACTGAAAGTAGAGTCAAACTATTAGTCACCCTAATACTTCATTTCCAAGAGATAAGGGCTAAGGATCCATTTGCATTAGAGACTTCATTTCTTCTAGAACACAAGGAATAGGATTGAAATAAAGAGCCTATATTGGTGATGTAGTTTGAAGCACTTTAAGTCTTTTATTCAAGAAACACTTTGATTACTTGATGTTGATGCATGATTGGTAGTGGCACAAGTGCCCACATGGGCAAGAGCATTAGGTCCACCTCCAGAGGATGTACTTTCCTTTGCACTCTCTAGCTGTCTCAAGGACTTATTGTACTTATTACTAAGCTCTAGCTGTTACATGAATCTTTCAGGAGGTAAGATTAGATGGTATAGGTGCTAGGTTAGACTTATTAGGTGGTGTAGTAGCAACATTTGCATTACCCTTCTTGCTAGTTTTGAATCTATCAGGCTTCAAATGGGGTTGGAGTTTCTAGCAAGATTCCTGTGTATGCTTGGGTTTTTTGCAATACTTACAGGCTACCTCCTTCTAATCCCCTCCTATGCAATCCAAAAGGGTATTTAATATCAGCTTCAGCTTAGCTGTGGCTGCATGTGTAGAGTAATCAAATGATGTTTGTAGCATAAACTTCTACTCTTGTCACTATGTACAAAAGAGTAAGCTTGAGATATGCCTCCAAGTGTCAATATGTGTTATTGTGTGATGCCATAGTTTGGGTTCAGGCCAGCCAAGAACTCAAAGAATAACATCCTTCTTAAATTCTGACTGTATAGTTTCATGATGATCAATCTCTTGCCAATATGACCACAAAGTAGAGAAATAAAGTGCAAGAGACATCTGCCTCTATTTTAGAGTGTTCAGCTCTAGCCTCAATTGATATGGTCTAGCAGCATCCAATGGTTGAGAGTAGGTCTCACTGTTTCAGATACAGTCTCATACCTTTTTAGCTGTTTTCATCCATAGATAATTTCCCAACATGGATATTGGGACTTGGGAGTCCAAAGGATCTAACTCTATTGCACTCTCAGTAATATAGCCTAGTTTACCATGTCCATCATTACCAATGCTCATAGACTGAGCCCATTCTACATAGTTTGTATCATCCAATTTAGCTACAATAATCACACCACCATTCTTGGAATCCATAGCACTATCCAATACAACTATAGGTTTCATACCCTGCTTCAAATCACTGTTAGTAGGGTCCATTGAATTCATATAACAAATCCAATGATGTTTCTGCACAACAAAGGGTGGATATTCTTGACCTACAGTCCACAATTTTACGATCACTTACAGCCATGTTTCAAAGTATTGATACACTCAATATGCAGAATTTGTGTATTGAGAGTTTTGTTTGATCAGAAGTATAATTTATTTATTTTTTATTTTTTTGTTTAACAAATTGGTAGGGGGACCTGTCACATCATCTATTAGAGTATTATCACTTGAAAAACATCAAAATCTATAATATTATGTGTATCGATGACCAATAGATATTATGTAATATGCTTGGTTAGTGATAAGGGCCATATTGTAATACTTTGAACCTTGAGAACAATATAAAATTGAACAAACAATACTTGAGCACCAACTCCAGATCCCTTTATGGCATTTAATGAATAAAAAAATTTGAATTCTCTAATTTCCTTGATTTTTGGGTAGCAATATTTAGGAATTGCTTTTGGCCGTTCAACCAGCCTTGGTGCCAAGATAGAGAGGGAGAAACAGGGGTGCTTTCACCAGACACCTTCGAAGCTCCTAAAAAGGTGGTGATCTTAAGAACAATCACATTCTAAGTATCGATATGATACGCCTGGTCCTGTAATGAGCGCATTGTATTGTATCTATTGGTCATTGATATGCTTAATATAGGGACTTCAGGGATTTCGATATTTTTAAGTGATAATAGGTGTTATGACAGGTCCTCTTGTCAATTCGTTAGACAAAAAAATTATACTTTTGTTCGAGGTTCAAAGTATTGATTTAGTATGCCCCATATCCGGCGTATTGTATTGTATCTATTGGTCATCGATACACTTAATTTAGGGACTTTAGAGATTTTGATGTTTTTAAGTGGTAATAGATGTTGTGACCATGGTTCACAACATCAGCAATATTGGTGAAACATTCCCATTTTGCTAGGTGGTGATAGATACATTTTCTGGGAATTTTTTTCCAAATATCTTCGATATTTTGCTGATATGTCAATATTTTCAGATTTCACTGATAGACTATATATTTAAGGTTTAAAATTTTAGAATATTATTAAAACCTTTCAATGTTTGGTTAAAATCATTATAATTCTTTAAAAATATTTTCCTAAAAGAACCATGGGGAATTGGTGATATTTCAGATTTCATTAATAGACTATATATTTAAGGTTCAATTTTTGATATTTCATTAAAATAAGTATAACTTTTGAAAAATATTTTCCTAAAAGAATGATTGGGAATTGGTGATTGGATAATTGACTTACTTTTTTTTATATTATTCACTTACTAAGTCACAATAATTCAAAAGAAAAAGTAAAATGCAGATAACTGTAAAAGAGTATTCTTAAATTAATCAAAACAAATAGTAACAAAAAAATGAAACAAAGTCAAAATGGCAAGTAATTAACATTTTTTTATCAGTGAGCTGGTAATTAACATATGTCAAGTAATTTAATATGGCAAGTAATTAACATATTAAATTCTCAATTTTCTCCTATTTGATTTATAAAGTTCTTTTCTATGATTTTTTGAGCCTTAAATGTCCAATTATATTTATTCTAATGATTCCTTGAAGGTTTAATAATTAATTCCATGTTTCTAGAAATCTTTCTTGATTTTTTAGATTTTTCAAATATTTTAGCGAAATATCTCTGAAATTTCTCCATCTCTACATGGAAAAATGTCCATCGTTATCAAAATGTGAACCATGGATGTCACAGGTCTCCTTGTCAGGTCAGACAAAAGAAATATACTTTTGATCAAATGAAACACTCGATATGCAAATTCAAGAGCATCAATACTTTGAACCATGCTTTTAGGCAGCAAATAAGCACCTTCTCCAAATATCCTCTAAAAAGAGGCAATATGGGCAAGAATGATCATCCTCTTCAGTCTCTGATGCACACTGCTAACCCTACTTATGCATGGGTTTCACATGCATAGAATGAAGAAGAAAAGTGTTCTGGTACCAACTTGTCTTGAAACAGCAATAATAATCTGAAATAAACAAGAAATTAATGATCAAAGGAAGAGAAAACAGTAGGAAGAAGAAGCTGAAGAAAGGAGAGAAGAATGAATGGAAGAATGCTCCAATTGGAGGAGACATTGTGAGCTGCCACTAACTTTTATGTTAACTTTTGTAACTGATATGAGTAATTACAAATTTACAAGAATGTCCCTAGTTAGGTGGCAGCAATAAAAAAGGAGTTTGGATCAGGTACCAACAACTGGTCACAACAGCCATTGCGGCCGTGCATTAGGAAGATCTCCCTTCTCCTCCATGGCGAGATGTTCCCAATGCACCGCTGCAAAGGATGTTGTGACCGGTTGTTTTGGACCTGATCTGAATTCATAAAAAGGAACATAAAATTGCTGAAGGACAATGGCTCAATAACAAAAAAAAGTAATAACATGCCCAACAGAAACATGAAGTAATAAGGAAAGAAGCAGAACTAATAACGCCCATAAAAGTCTAATAAATGCTCGCCCACTTCTCAACGATACATATAGCGTGTGGGGAAAAAAGTTTCCTAATTTAATTGGGTCAAGTAAGAAGCTTCCCTGCACAATCTACCCTTTAACTGCCATATTGAAGGATGATGTGGCACACCCAAACCGTCCACCTGATAATAGTAGATCTGGACCGATGACTGTTTAATCCTCCAGTCCAAGTTGACCCTCATTGGTGTTTTACTCTGGTAATGTTGGTAATTGAAAGTTTAATTTTTAATATAAAATTAACATTAGGGTTAGTTTGAACAGGTGGCAATGGCTTTTTGGCCCAAAATTTACACATTAACAGATATTGACAAAATGAATATGTAGGGCGCTTTTGGGCTCAATCCAGCTTCCACCGTTCCATGTAGAAGATTCCATGGTTATTCAGCCTTTACCGTATGACTTCAATGACTTGACTAGCCTTCTCTCTCTCTCTCTCTCCTGTGTGTGTGTAGGGAGCTATTTTGGCTGGGATTATTCTCTTGTTGTGAGTGGTTATTGTGATATTTCTCAGCATACTTTGAAGTGCTGATTGGAAAGGGCTTCTTGAAAATTTTATGCCTGCTGTTCTTAAGTGTAGTTGCAGGCAAGTCAGTTTTATCCAAGTTTTTATGACCACTGTTAATGGACAACTAACTAAATGTGTTAACTCTAATTTCAATGTTGTCTATGAGGAACATTTGTGATATTTCACATTATACATACATTACATACAAAAGCATCCCATATTCTAAAACTTTTCATTTTTCCAAGGTTTTGGATGAATGTCTTCGTGCAATATCTGGTTTTAAAGGAACTGAAGATCTGCTGGGTGATAGATTAGAGACCCCATTCATGTCTGATTGCACAAGGACAAAAAGAATTTCATCGGCTCCAAAATTTGGACTTGAATGTCTTGAAGTCTCGAAAGGAAATTTGACAGAAAATTCCTCTGGAAGTAAGCAGTGGTGTGAGGCACTTGAGAAGCATCTACCTCTGATTTTATTTCACAGTTCCCCAATGGTTTGTGAAAGTGCCTGTTGCAGCTATTATTTGCTATTATCTCATATCTTGTAAATAAGTTAAGAAATTTGTTGTCCTATTACCTGCTTTTCTTTTTGTCCTGGTACATGCTCTAAGCTTCCAAGACGATATAAAAACAATTCACCTTTTTGAAGGTGGTTGTTTAATTGTTTGTCTTGCAACTTGCACAGCCTTGCATTGTTGTCATAGTCATCATGTACTGAACTTTATCATAGTTATTTGGGGCTGATTACATTAAATTCTTGTTTTGACATTTAAAAGATATATATGCACATGCATTGCTATGTTTATGCTGTCATTTCTATGTTTGACAATTATTCACATTGTTTCCTAACATACCACAAGAAGATAATGTCCTCAGGAGATGTGACGTTCATTTGGTGAGTAGATAGGTACAAGTATAATCAGTACAGGCATCCCTAAGAGAGGTGTGAGATATGACCTCTCCCATCAAAATGAAAAAGTCACAGTTACAAATGTGCCCAATACAATTGATCCCTGTTCACTCCTTTCTTGGCAAGAGTATTGACAAAGGCATTGGTGGTCCTCACCCATTGGTGGCCCTTATCTCTCAAAGCTCCCCCAACTCCAAAGGGGCCTGGGTTACCTTGACTGCTACCATCAAAATTCAGTTTATCAAATGCTTCTGGAGGGGGCTTCCACAGTGAGATTACTTTTTTCCTTCTTGGAAGAGCTCCTTGCTGCTACATACCCGTTCCTCCAAAGGCCATCAAATGAACATTGTGAAAAGATATCTAGAGTTTTCAACCAGTGAGTAACCTTAGTCATCAAACATTTTTGCACCACTTCCTTGATTGTTTCCTTCTCTAGGAAGAACCTTACATTCTTTCCTTTCCAAATGGTCCAAACCAAAGCTGCTATTATGCATCTCCACATAAGCTTTCTCCTTTTCTTAGGCAAAACAAAAGTAGTTAGATCAAAGAGACCATTTACCTCCATTGTCAAGTTCCTTTTGCACTCAAAATAGAGATGATCTTTTTCTTCGTTTTTGAAAAGTGTTGACCTTTTTGGGACACACTTCCCAATAGAAAGTACCAATTTTGAGGGCCATAAATTTTAGATCTCTTCATGGGCCGGGCTTTGGGCTCGGTTTTCCACTGTATTGGGCTTGGGCTTTAGACTGGGCCCATTCAAATTTTGGCAAAATCCAAGCTCGAGCCTGGCCCATGAAGAGGTCCAATCAGTTTACACCATATATCATTAGTGTGGAAAACATTGGGGGGGGGGGAGCGACAGAGGCTGTAAAAAAGAAGCACAATATAAAACACAGTTGAAAGACGTAGGGGTGGTGTGGATTATGAAAGAGGAGGCACAGGAAGGAAGGAGAGAAAGCTGGGTTAAATTAAAAGCTGAGTTGTGTGGGCCTTTTTACTTAGTGTTCCATGAAGATAATCAGTTGGAATGTGAGGGGTTTGGGGAGTTTGAGAAAAAGAAGTGTAATTGGGGAAGTCCTTAGGAAAGAGAAACCGACCATTTTCTTAATTCAAGAGTCAAAGCTGACAGAGGTGGATAGAAGATGGGTGAGGAGTGTTTGGTCAGCTAGAGGGTTAAGTTGGGTGTTTACACAATCGTGGGGAGCATCAAGAGGCATCATTACAATATGGAGGAATGAAGAGATGGATTGTACTAAAGAACTAATTGGCAATTTTACAGTAACAATCAAGTTGAGAAGGAAAGAGGATGGTTTTGAGTGGGCCTTAACCAATGTCTATGGACCCAACTCGTATAGGGAGAGGGATGACTTTTGGGATGAGCTTGCAGCCATAAGGGGTCTGTGGAATGGACCGTGGTGTTTGGGGGGTGATTTCAATGTCATAAGATTCCTAAATGAGACTACCAATTCAAATCATAGCGTCACCTCTAGCATGAGAAAGTTCAACCTTTTTGTGGACTCATATGAATTTAGAGAGCTACCTATGTTGCAAGCAAACTTCACTTGGTCCAATTTCCAAGAAGAACCCCTGTGTTGTAAATTAGATAGATTCTTATTCTCTTCAGATTTTGAATTTGCATGGAGGGGACTAGTAGTGAGGGCTCTCCCTAGACCTACCTCAGACCATTGTCCAGTTAGGTTATCCCAAGAAAACATAGGAGGGGGGGCCATGTCCTTTCTGGTTTGAGAACATGTGGTTGCTCCGTCCTGATTTTATAAAAAAGGTTCAACTGTGGTGGGAAGAAGACCAAGTGGAATTTAGGTGGAAAGGGTACAAGTTTTATAAAAAGCTTCAGGCCCTAAAAGCTAGAACCAAAGCTTGGAATAAGGAGGAATTTGGAAGAGTGGATTGCCAATAGGATTCAAGAAATTGTTGGAGGTGAGGCAGAGGAGATTGACAGTAGGAGAGAGGGAAGAGCGTTGGAAGCTGAAACAGGAGTTGCAGGAAAACATAAGGAAAGAGGAGATAAGTTGGAGACAAAAATCTAGGTGTAAGTGGCTGAAGGAGGCCAGGAGGGAGACGAGAATACCAATTTTTTTCATACCTTAGCAAATGGAAGGAAGAGGAAGAATTTTGTGGGGAGGCTGGAATGGAATGGTGAAGTGATTACAAGTGAGGAGGAGATATCAAGAACCTTTGTGGAGCATTTCAAATCCATTTATGACAGCCCAAGAAGAGAGAGAAGAAATTCTTGACCTTGATTGGCTACCTGGGATTAGGGGTTTGATGGATCAACTAGAAAAGAATTTTGAAGTCCAAGAAATAAAAGATGCTATTTTTTCAATGGAAAGATCTAAAGCCCCAGGCCCCGATGGTTTCACGATGGCCTTTTACCAAGATTGCTAGGATATTATAGGTGGTGATTTAATGGAGGTCTTCTTGGAATTCTTTGAGAGAGGTAAGATAAATTCGGGTGCCAATGCTACTTTCATAGCTTTGATTCCTAAAAAGATAAAATGCAAGCCACCCAAAGGATTTTAGGCCTATAAGCCTAATTGGGAGTATGTATAAGGTAATCTCAAAGGTCTTGGCAGAAAGAATAAAAAAGGTACTACCATCCTTGATATCTCCGAACCAAGGGGCGTTTGTGTCAGGAAGACAAATTATTGATCAGATCCTTATTGCCAATGAATGTGTGGATTATAGAAAAAGACAAGGAGAAAAGGGTCTGATTTGCAAACTGGATTTGGAGAAGGCCTATGGTTTGGTGGACTGGGACTTTTTACTGGAAGTATTGAGCATCAAAGGATTTGGAGAAAGGTGGTGCATGTGGGTTAAGGGTTGTATCTCTTCATGTCACTACATTCTAGTAAATTGGGTAGCCAAGGATTTCTTCCTAGCAAAGAGAGGTTTAAGACAAGGGGACCCTCTTTCTCCTTTCCTTTTCACCTTGATAGTTGATGTGTTGAGTGTCCAGATTACTAGAGCCGATGCTAGAAATTTGCTTAGAGGGTGGAGAGTAGGGAGGGAGGAAATAGTTGTAACCCACCTTCAATTTGCTGATGACTTGATTCTCTGTTGTGAAGGAGATCCGGAGGAGTTGGAAAATTTAAAGGTCTTGGTAGAGAATTTTGAAAAGGTCTCCAACTTGAGAGTAAATTGGAATAAAAGTTGTGTAGCTGGAATTAATAGGCAAGAAGTTCAGGTGGCATCATTGGCTAGATTTCTAGGTTGTGAGGTAAGTGATTGGCCTCTTAAGTATTTAGACTTACCTTTGGGAGGAAACTCGAGGTCAGTTAGCTTTTAGTACCCAGTCTTGGAAAGATTCTCAAAAAGACTAGCGGGTTGGAAAAGGAACTACATCTCTTTAGGGGTAGAATCACTCTAATTAAGTCAACACTAGCAAATTTGCCAGTGTATTTTTTGTCTACTTTCAAATTGCCAATTAAGATTGCAAACCAAATTGAAAAAATAATGAGAGATTTTCTATGGGAACCTGGAGATACCAAAAAGGATCATAGGGTAAAATGGGAAGTGGTGTCTAGAAAGAAAGACAAAGGGGGTTTAGGGATTGGAAATATTAGAATAAGAAATGCAGCTTTTGTTAGGCAAATGGTTATGTAGGTTTCCTAAGGAGCAAGAGAGTCTATGGCATAAGGTGATAAGAAGTATTCATGGAATGGTAGCAAATGGATGGGACGCTGGACTCGACCCAAGGGCTTCGCGTTTTTCCCCGTGGAAAGATATTGTTGGTATCTTGCCTATCTTCTCTCCTTTCATCAGGTATGATGCTTGCATGGGTAATAAGATTCTTTTTTGGGAGGACTTGTGGATTGGGGAATCTCCCCTTAAGGATAGATTCTCGAACCTATATTCCCTTTCTTTGAAAAAATCTCAATTTATCTCTTCTTTTCGTGCTTCTGGGGATTCTTGGGATCTGGGACTAAGGAGAGGTTTGAGGGACTCAGAAGTGGATTCAGCAACTGATATTTTTTTCTCTTCTAAGTTCAGTTTTTCTAAACCACTCTTCTCCGAACAGTAGAATTTGGACAGAAACTTCTACAGGTAGATTTTCTTGTTCTTCGTTTTTCATTGCCATGGCCCTTCCTTCTAACCGGTTTCGTCTTTTCCTCTTAAAGAAGTTTGGAGAGCTCCGGTCCCCCTAAAAGTAAGGGTTTTTTGTTGAGAAGTGGTTTTCCAAAAAATCAATACCTTGGAAGTGCTTCAAAGAAAGAGTCCAAATTGGTGCTTGTCACCTCATGTCTGTAGCCTTTGCTTGAGGAATGGTGAGACGGTGAATCACCTATTAATTTTTTGTCCTTTTAGTGCTCTAATTTGGGATTGGTTCTCCTCTCTCTTTGATTGTAGGTGGACTCCTCCCACAAGTGTAGTAGATTTATTTGACCCTAGCTTTTTCCAACAACCAAAGAAGAAAGGAAGGGTGATGTGGAGAAGAACGAGGGCAGCTATCTTGTGGATTGGTTCTCCTCTCTCTTTGATTGTAGGTGGACTCCTCCCACAAGTGTAGTGGATTTATTTGACCCTAGCTTTTTCCRACAACCAAAGAAGAAAGGAAGGGTGATG